CGGCAAAGCCCCTCTTCGCCCCGCCCCATTGTTATTCGCCAATTTCACTTAAATCGTAATCTCGGACGCGAATCCACCCCTCATGTCTGCCTACCGCGGCTTTTACCATCCCTCCCGCGCCGATACTCTGCCCTCCCGCCCCTCCCCCCTCCCGCTGTTGCCCGCTTTGTCCCGGTTGCAACCGGTAGACGGTTAATCCGCAATTGGTTTCGCTAGCGGCGCGATTAAACGGAATTCCCAAATGATTTCGGTCGGCTCTCTCGCCACGCGTCCGATTATTTGCAGTTACGACGCGCAGAAATTCTCTAACTCGGCGTGATGCAGCGCCGTTCTAGAGTGCACCTGTACGACTTCCCCCCGGCCTGCTTATGCATAATGCGCCTGCCGCTTTCAAGCGAGCGATTATTCGTTTGCAATTTGCCAACGAGAATATTCAGTTGTAAGTGGCTGAAGAAAAAAAAAAAGAAGAGAGAGAGGCGAAAGAAAGATTAGCCCGTTGTGGATTAGAAACTGCATTACGAAGGTTCATAACGTATTTTGGAAAGAAAGCTGCACAAATAAATGGAAAATAGAAACGCATTAGCTTTCGTAGACAGACGAAGCGTTAAAAATAATATTTAATACTGCACGTAAGATTGTTTTTGAAACATTTGAACGCGAACGAATCGCAGGAAGCCTTAAAGTTTCGTATTTTGTATACGGTTGTCATAATGTTAATTAATTAAAAGACATGGCCGCGCAAAGTTTGCGCGCAGCTGCGAGCCGCGTAATGTTAACCAAATTTCCGAACCTGCGAGGAGAGAGAAAAATTGTTACGTCGAATGTAACGCAATTAGTGTGATAATGATTAAATTAAGCAATTAGTCGTAACAGTGTCTCTATGCATTTCGTAGATACGCACTTGCTCCATTTTGTTTACACCTTAAAACCATAATTTCCTTTCTAATTAGTCAATCAACAAATGTACAAATGTCACACGCATTAGATATTACGATTAACACATGATAAGTCGTTTCGATTAATTTCAGTCGATTAATTTAACACTCTAGAATCCAGTCGCAAGTGCTGTGCTATTTTTATGACAACTGCCGACTCAGGCAATTACTAGAAACGGCTTACAATGTGTTAATACGATTATCGACCGCGAGGTCGTTCGGTGAGGGTGTTAAAAGGATTTCAGGGGACAACCAAGTAGCCCAAGCATTTACCCCTCGAATGTATAAGCGAACATGCTTACTAGGAATACAACCGCCCCCCTTCTTCAGACACCTTGTATTAAAGAAAGTGCCGCTAATTGTTAATAACCAAATGCAATTGTAAAGCAAAATAAAACGAAACTAACGAAGCGATGTAAATGAAATCGCTATTCGGCAATAAGGTTAATTTAATGCGCCCGATCGAATTGTCGAATCAGCTCTTCGCAGCCCCGTAATGATTTAATTTTGATTGTTACTGCGTCAGAAAAGCTTTATTCGTACAATCGCAGAATTGCAATTAAGAGTGAATGAACGATGGAATCTTCGTTGCGTCTCGTAAACTATAAATTCGTATCATTTTTTTCAATCGTGCATGTAATTTTTGAAAATCAACTAACATGATATATAATTTATATCATCTAGCAAAAGAGTTTTTTTTTTCTAAATATACTTCTCGAAAAACAATTTAATGATTGTTTTGAGTCTTACAAAGACACGAAGTATCAATCAACAATCTATAGAAATGTCAATCAATTACTTTCATATTATTGCGTGTATCATTATAAATATATTAATATTGGATATTAATCTTTTCAATTTTATGAAGTACACATTCTGCAATTACTTGCGCTGTTTTAAAGTGTTGAGTGCAGAAGGAGCTGCGAACAGCCATAAAACCGATATTGAAGATTACGATTTCAAGTGCCCAGTAATAAAATAAATGCTGATTCTCAAATGATCTCCGCGAGAAAACGCCGAAATAGACAGAAGCATCGATCGATTGCACAATTGACAACAAATTTCTATGAAAAGTATAGTTAAATTAATTACCGTAATTAATTAATGTAATTCCCTCAGATTCGTTATCCAATGATATTATAATGAATATAATGAATGATCCCTTTCCGGATAGACTACGCGAATTAATTGTGCTAATATCAATTTATATAATTAATCAAAAATATTTATGGATAAAAGCCTTCAATATTAATCACGAATTTATAATTACATTTTGCTTGTTATTGATAATAAAACCAAGAAAGTTAAATATTAAAAGCGATATTATTCAATTCTTTATTTTGCGTATCGCGTATTTCTCGATCGATGTTTCGCCTTAAGAAAAATCATATTTTATTAAATAATAAATAATATATATATATATAATTGCTCGTATTCACATGCTATTCTTATTATTTAACGATATATGGTGATTTTCTTGTCCAATTAAAAAAACATATTTTATATGATTGTAGCACAAACATCAGAAAGCAGTGAATAAATTTGCACTGTGAATACGAACTGATAATAATGATAATAAATAAAAAGTATAAAAAATCAGGAGTCTGAAGAGAATATTTCAATGTACGTAGGATTTATCTAGACTCTATAGAGAGGCTGACTGCTTCACGGAAAAACAAGAAAAGAAAAACTAGTGATGAAGGATCTGTAATAATAAAATTAGATTCTATGCTACGTCCGACATATTCGATTATCCTGCGTCGCAGTAAGTTGCGAAGTAATAAATATAAGAGAGAATAAACGAAAAATGTGGAGGAAAAACCTGGATTTCATAAATACATCGGTCGACATACTTTCGTGAAACAGCCGCCATCTATTGCTATCAGCATGATTAATTTACGAGATCAAGAGACGGAAAAGTCTGAGAATGAGCAGCGGCGTAACTAGGTGAGCGTACATCTTCTTTAGAACCTCTTTATGCACATCATCTATCTCGGAAAGCAGTTCTAATGTAATTGTAAATTCTGATCCTAGCAAGGAAACTCACATTACATATCGAAAAAATCTTTTATTTCCGTCTATTGTTATTTAACTTTGCACCTTAGTTACGCCTATCGAAAGAAGTGACATTTGCAATGGATGTCGATCGCTGCAATCGGTAAAACCGTGTCCTACCTTTTATTTTTTTTTTTACTTTTCATCAATTTAACATAATTACAAAATTACCATTTCAGTAAATTTATTTCTACCAAAGCAAAAGTTAAGCGATCGACATCGTGAAACTGAATGTGCATGTGTTTTTTTTTCGCGGCAGCGAGGGACACGAAGCGGATTCTCGCGAGGACCGTGATAGCGAAGTCATCGCTGATACTGCGACTCTTCCTAGCAGATCCGTCGCGAGACGCGCTCTTCAATGGTCCAGCAATTGGCCAGTTCGCTCGACCATGTGAAGCGGTCCGCTCTCGTTTCTCTCGCCGATTCTTTTTTTTTTTTCCTATTCCCTTGCTCTATTCTTAATTTGTGCTCCATTTTGTTGATTTAAAGAAGAAAAAGACAGTGAGGGAAGGGATAAAAAGGAATAACGCTCATTAGATCCTTTCGCAAGGATAACGTTCTGAGAACAAAGAACGAATGAATCAGCGGACGGTACGTAGATCAGTCTTGTCCGTATTAGACGTAATAACATCTCTAATTTATCGCATTGAAAAAATTACTCAACTATTTCGCCGGCGAATAATTTCATAATTCATGAATCGATCAATCAACATACCTTCATAACAAAACTGTAGGTGCTTCATTCAGTTTACGCGCATTGAATATTCGATCGCGTATCTATTCACCCGGAATAGTTGCGGAATAATGCAAACCTGAATCGAATAGATAGATTTCGAATGGAATCGAGACGATAGATTTCAGTCCGAAGTCATATCGCAGAACTGTCATCGGTACACGTGCGGTATTCAGAAAGCGTTTCTCGTTAGTGACATGAGATCTTGCAGGTCTCACGCGGAAACTTGGTGGAATTTTCAATAAAACCATTCGCGATAACCGGCGGAATGACAAGTTTGATCTACCATCGATCGCATTTTTTTTTTAATGTTGTATTTGTTCATTGTCCTCTAAACTTTTTTTAAACACTTGCAAAAGATCAGCGTCTCGCGAGCAGAGCTGAATATTGTTTCAAATACTGCAAATACATCGATCCTAACAGTATTGAAAATATATAGGTACATATTTTATATTATTATAAAAAAGTACTATTTGGACACAGCAACCAATGTATAATATTTTATATAAGTAAAATCGATAAAATATTTCACCCTAAAAGATATAATTTCTTTAAAATGACAAGGACTTAAAAATGTATGTCAAGTTTTTCTTCAGATATTCTTCCTTACAGTTCCACGCTTCATTAAAAGATAATTAAGGCTAATTGTCGATGTACTCGTTTCACGAATATATAATAATTATCTCCTCCACTAATTTTTGCAGTTGTAAAAGATCCGCTTCCACTTCGTCAAACATTCACCTTGTTAAAAATTACATTTGCTTATGAAAAAATTAATTATTCCAATAAAGTCTTTCTATAATTACCTTCAATAATTCTTCTATTATGGATTTTACACGATGAATAGACGATTCCTTCTTCTATGCTTTAATAATTTTTTCAATCGTCGCAATAAAACGTGCTACCAATCATTAAAATTTCTAAATAGGTATAAAAATTAATTCTTAATTAAAAAACAATAAGTTTAAACAACCCGTCCTGACAAAAACTAACATTCCTTTCCAATAAGGTAATTAATTTTATGCACGATGAAACAAGATTGCTTGTACACTGTTTTTTTAATATAAACACCAAGTATTTAGCGCTGTGCCCTTTTTTTCCACAATTTCTCCGCATTTCAATGAAATACGAATTTATCATTCGCGTAATTATCTCAAATCAGCTCTGTTCGCGGCATTTCCCAGCGGGATGGATCAAAGGGACGTGTTTCAGGGCAAATCGAATGAAGTCGGTTACGGCAAATATATGTACAGATACGCGGCGCGTGCGGTACTTACTCGCTGTTCAGCACGCGGAACGATTTGGGTGACATGCAGTTGACGCTCCATTCGGTGTTCCCGTGCTCGTTGCATATCGTAATGGAGAACCTGCCGTAGTTCGCCCGTATCAGATGGATCAGCTTTCCCTCACCGCACTCGATCTCCAGCGTCTTGCCCTCGCAAGCGTATGCGGTGTCGTACCTCTCTGTAACAGAAAACACGACATGGTTTTTTTTCCAGTTTCGTTTTAGCATCCTTTGATCGAAGTCGCCGTTGGAATTTGCGGTAAACGCTTCGCGCAACTGCACGCTGCCGCGCAGCTGCGACTCGCAGCGGATCGAATATAGAGATTATACGCGCGCGGCCGAACTTCCCGTACACATGACGTCTGTCGCAGCCGCGGATCCGCATCGGTTTCCGCTTCCGGAAAGCCTCCGCATGTGCGATCCTGAAGGATGGCTGTGTTGTTACTGATGGGATTACGCTGTTGTTTAATCTATTCGCGCGGCCGCGTTTTTACGATTAATATTTTCGTCTGTACAGATCCTATTTCGAAAAATAGCTATTTGAAAAAAAAAATTCATATTCAAAGTTTAATATTTTTTATAATAAAAAAAGTGTCAAGTATATTTCATTCCTTGTGCGAGAAAATTTACTGTCTAGATTCGTACTTGAAATATTATGAAAATATCATTTGACGTGTCGGAGTTTTACATTTCTAAAATCCATTTTTAAATATTTTTGTTTAATCTAATCGGAAGATTATGTTCTAAACGCACGACAGAATTTTGTCTCTCACGCAAACTGAAAATTCAAACAAAATATAAGCTTACTTTCGTAACACCATTTTAATATAATAAAAAAATTGCAGAATAAGAACGTTAATCTTTTCTTTCTAAATGATATATATATATTCAGTTTGCGAAAACATTTAACATGATGCACAATACAATATTCCAGGACGACGTAAACGCTTCGACACGGGGAATCCGCGGGTAAATTCGCTAAATTTACCGGCGCCGCAGCATTTCCGCAGAAAGTCTTAACCGCGGACTAAACCGACATTGTGGCGCGTCGGTACGGAACTAATGAACTCACGACGAGGCTTTCACGGACAGAGTTATTACACCACTTCTCCCTGCCTGTAGCTCGCACAGACTGCTCCCTTGTCCCTCTCGCCATTTTCTTCTCTCTCCGTCCTCCCTCATCCTTCGTTTCCTTGGCATCATATTATGATAGCCATCATACCTCCCCCTAAATAAGCTCGGACCTAGTTTTACGATCTCCCCATCAGCCCATCTCCGGCTTACTGTTCCGTTATGAATGGAAATGCCGCGTAAAACGTGCATTAATCTAGATTTCAGCTTTTTTTTTTATCTTAATATATGTACATTTGATGTGAACTGATTTCGAACTTATATTATGGCTCTTTTAATAACAGCTGAAGTAATAATGCATAAATATCGGCTGCGCGTTCGGTTTTACATTTAACAATATGGTAAGTTTAATGCGATACGGGAATAAATTTAAGCACGGGCATAAATAACACACGCATTCCTTTTCCAAAGTCATTAGCTGTTCGGCATGTTCAGCCGTCATTATCGATCATTACGTAAAGGATCCTGAAGCAAAAAAAATCGCTCTCGGACAGGTGTCGACTTGCAGAAAATCCGAGAACAAAGCGACGGCTGAGTAACGACGCGCGTGTTTCGCGGTAAATTACTGTGTGCGTGGAAACGATGGCGGAGGTCAAGGTTGCGGTGGGATTACGTGGAGGGCACATGAGAGGAGCGACTCGATTTAACGTCCCATTCGCTCGCTACGTCGGCCGATACCGGCTCCGAATGGCGCCATGTTTTGCGGTGGTTACGCGCCGTTCCGCGTTGTCGAGCATGGTTACCCCTAAATTTCCGTCGATGCCGCGAGAATTCGTCTCGGAGTAAAGGGCAAAACAAGAACCTCAATTCCGCTCGCATCGATCCCACTTTAGTTCGAGAAGTCGAGCAGAAGTCCCAAGTATTATTTCGACCGGCTGCTTTCGTAGCTGATTCCGTGTTCTGCGTTTTATTCGCAGTGAAATGGGGAATACGCGGGGAAATGTTTCAGTCAGTCAATAAGAGGTTGATATAAAGAAACTGAAATCAATATTACGTATTCGCGTGCACGTGTAGCCACATAAATTACCGCGAGAGAAAGCCAAAGGCCAAAAAGTGCGTAACTCGTGCTTGATTTAAATTCTTTTTTTTTTCCACCTGGACGACGCGGAATGCTTTTCGAAAGTAGGATAAAGTATCGTTGCAAGGCCAACATATCCTTGATAAAAATGGCAGGAGAGCTAAGAGAGAAGGAGCAAGCAAGAAAAAGATTTATAACACGAAGGCAATTTCTCAGCTGTCTCTTTTTTTGCTTCTCGCATCGCGATTAACGCTCCACTCGCGCCGTTATTCTCGCTGCAGTTTGTTCTCCGTTAATTAAGCGCGTTTCGATAACACCGTAAGCGGCAGGTAATCGATATACGGCGTCATCGACATGCTCGATTAATCGGGGATGTGGTAGAAGTGAGCACCGAGCGCGACGTGTGTTTCGATCAAAACGCTACTGCTACAAACGCATTGATTCGCCTAAGCGACTCGCATGCCTTGCCGGCGTGCGTGTCTGCTAAATGCGTTCGCATCATTTGCAAAACAGTTTATTCAGTCGTTGCAATTCAGCGCGCATAAAAAATGACATTAGAGTTCATTTTTTAGAAGAAATTTATAATAACGTTTGAATGTTCGATTTTCAATATTTCACATCTTAGAGCTTGAATTTAAATTAATTCAATTGATTTAATTTCTCTCCCATTTAAATGAGAAATTAAGAATTCTTTCAATTATGTTCCCCAAATAATTACCGACGATTTTTTAATATTTCACGTTACTCGCTTGTGAAAACGCTCATTAAATTTTTATCAAGAAGACAGACATCACACACATACAAATATCATTTATACGGAAAACACGTCGTCGTAAAAAATTCATCAAATTAGCTCAAGTACAAAACACACGTCCGTTATACATTATCAAATTATCTGTTAGAAATTTGTTTACGGTGCCACGGAAACATGGAGCTTTTTAAAAATTGCTTTTTAAAAAATACAAGTGTACCTCCTCGAAGCATCGTGGCGCTGCCGACGCGAGGCGCCGCGCGAAACGTTGCAAAATGTCCGGATAGTTCGCGGCGTATTTCAGGCTTACGTCGCTTCCTCGAGACGCATTCGCAGCGGCGAAGAGTCGTTCAAAGTTGGCCGGCTTGGCGGCATCCCGGGACAGAGGTGAGATCTCTTCGGGGTTCGCCGAGGAGAGTTCGTCTTGGGCTCCCTTTAAACGCGCCCCCGACCCCGGCGTGTGCGGTCGTCGCTCGGATACCGAGAAGACGTCCGTCTCCCTCGGGAGCGGTGAGTTCCGAGGCGGCCGCGCTGCGTACGTGTATGTAGATATCTGTGTTTCGAGTGTTTCACGTTGCAGCAACTCGGACCGCGGGGTTGCGCTCTTCGTCAGTTCGAAGCACCAAAAGTAGAGAGGATTGTCGCACACTCTCTCTCTCTCTCTCTCTCTCTCTTTCAAGCTCGACGCGTCCGTGTAAATCTTCGGACGCGCGGCCGCCCCGGAACTCTCCCGAGAGTCCTTTCAAGCTTTATCGCTTCGCCCCTCTCCCTCCCCCCCCTCGCCCCGCTGGAACACTCGATCGCCGCCGGTACGGCTCTCGAGCTGCTCGTCGAAGTCCTTCGAGCGTGATCGAGAAGTTCGCAATTTCGCCCGGACTACCGGCGTATTAATTGGTCAAGTGGTCTTTTGTCGCAGGAATGCCTGGGACACACAGTGTCTTTACGGTTAAAAGATTAGATATCGATTGGTCTGTGCGTTAGAATTTATATTAAAAAACTCGAGTGAAATTGAAAGGCCGAACTGACGCGTTTATTGCGACGATTTTCTCGAGACACTTCTTACACGTATTTGTCTCCTCGGACGTTAATGTGGCCGATTGTCGAAATTAGGGATCTAACGATGAAACGGTTCGCGATATTCTGTTGCAAAAAGTCTGGAATGTTTTCCGGTCGCGATTTAATACGAAGTGTATTTAGCATTGTTAACAGTCTCTACAAAGTTTCCTCGAATCGGGACGGAGAGTCTCGCGGCTGTGCGCGAAAGAACGCGGCGAGCGCGACGAGGTACGCGCGCGCAGCTCGGCGTAAATTCGTTCCAACGCTCGTCATGAAAATTAGAGCCCGACCGAAACAAACACATCCGAGCTCGCCGCGCGGCTGTTGAACGAGAAAATTATTGCACGACCCCGCATTATCGTCGAAGTGCCTTTTTCGAGCTTTGCGTTTGCCCGCCGCTGCACTCGCCGCAGCTGCGGCTGACGCGTTATGCGTCATGCGGTCGTTACCGCGGCCGGACTTACTGCACGCGGATTGTTCGCGGGTTGTAAAACGCGTCGCCGCGGCGTGAAATCGAGCGAGTGCACAGCCATCTCTCTCGCCCTCAGTATTTGACTCGGAAAAAGTTGTTGCAAACTCGAGCGCTGGACAATGAAATTATTATGCGTCCTTTTAGCCGCATCCTGGCGATGCATTCGTTACCGATGCAACTGCAATGGACGCGCAATCGTCATGTGGTCGCGGTTAGGACGCGTACGATTCAATTTTACATGTTGTTTGACCAATATATCGTTCAAGTGGCGTCGTTTATATCACAAGTATCTCGTTGTACATTTTAATTAATTATTATTGTGCGATATGTATTAGCTTCGAACCGCGTGTTTGATTCGGTTACGAGCTGTGCACGCTCGTAGGCACAAACATTATGAGTGTTAAATTTCTAATGAAATCTGTTTCTGCAAATATTTCATTTCGTTTCAGCAGGATGCTGCCGTTGCTGTAAAGATAATACAAAAACTACAGAGTATTGTTTTTTTTTTTGTTTATTTTTCTCACAATCAGGTGCATTCTGATCACATTGTCGCGTGTTAGATGCTTATTAAAAACGCAACAAATTACTTAGAAGCTAAAATTGTCAAATTCGCTGAAATCACATTAGCACGCCTGTTTCTAAGAAAAACGTTAATTTTGCAAATGGAGAATTAATTCTATGAAGTACCGCGTCCTCGGGGCTCGCTTCAACGGGTTTCCACCCCCGAGATCTTGCGGAATCCTTGCGCGGT